TAGGCTAAAAAGAGAACATGCCAGGCTGCAGACAAATCTATAACAGCCTGTATTGGAGCTGACTTGTCAAGACTGGAGTTTAGACTTATGATGAGACTCCAAGGCTTCAATTGATTCTTTAGTTTCATCTGGAATACAAGAAGCCAATAGAAAAATGGGTCCCCAATATGGAGCCTGTGGAGCCCATGGCACCCGCCAACCCCTTTCCTGGTGCCCTCTAAATGTTTTCAGAAAGTCGCTGGGGCCAAATGGGGTTTTTTTGGACAGCACAGCTTCTGAATGGCCATTGGCGATCTTACTAAGCACGCAGATTGAAATAATGATACTTCGGCGGCAGCTGCCAGCACAGTATTGGTTTTATAGTCTGGTGTAGTGGTTAAGTGCGCAGACTCTAATCTGGGAGAACCGGGTTTGATTCCCCACTCCTCCACTCACAGCTGCTGGATGACCTTGGGCAAGCCATAGTTCTGTCAGAGCTGCCCTTGAAAGAGCTGTGGGGAGGGGAAGGGGAAGGAGTTTGTAAACTCCTCTGAGACTCCGAGTGAAGGGTGGGGTATAAATCCAACCTCCTCCTCCTCCTCTTCTTCTTCTTTATTCTCTCACTCATCTTTCCTAAGATATTTGTAAGATTTCTGTCTGTTTATGAACCCACTTCCCATGGTAGCCATTTTTTGCTTGGCATCAACTCCCATGGCAGCCATTTTCTAGTTGGCTCCACATCCAATGGCAGCCATTTTGGGGTTGTGCCCACCACCCTATGTCTGAATTCCAAAGGTGCCCACAGGCTCAAAAAGGTTGAGAATGCCTGTGATATAAGATGATCTTATGTGTCTGTTCAGAAGTAATTCCCTCTGAGTTCATTGAGATTTTACTCGAACAAGTGTTCAGAGGACTGCTGCCTTAACCATGTTTTTTTCTCCTCCGATATTTTTATTAGATCATTAAATCAGAGAAAAACAATTCATGTGATGTTATACGATAATAAAACTTGCTGTTCCAATATTCTAAATATAAAATCTAATTTTCCAGAAAATTAATCCAAGTTTTAAATTGAGATTTTTATGTTTATGAATGTAGTTTTTATTGGGGGGGGGATATACATACAAAATGCTAAGGCTTACCCAGCTCACAGCATGCAAGTCAATTGTGAGTGCCACCCTTTGAAAATACCGGTTTGGAGCATACACCGTAAGAATTAATCCTCTTTAAAAAAAATAAAATGTTGATCCGCTATTACTGAAAAAAATCTATCTTTTTTAGGTGGTGTCCAGGATTTGATCCTAATCATAATGATTTCCTTCCGTAATGAACTTCATTGCTATCTACATGTTTAACAGCTTTGTCGTCACTGCTTTGACAATAAGTTTTCTACAACTCAAAACCAGCAATGACATGTATTTTATTTTATTTTTAATTCCCAGCTGTGATGGGGGAATATGAGCCGAAAATTGAAGTCCATTTTCCTTACACAGTCACAGCCGCAAAGGGATCTACCATTAGGATGGAGTGCTTTGCGCTTGGAAAGTAAGTACACATTATTCAATCATTTGGCACCATTGGTTATTATAATATTACACATTTCATTGGGGGTCCTCATTTCAGTTTTGCAACAACAGCAAAATCCCCTTCCTTGATCCTTATGCAAACTTTTTATAAAGCAGCTATTATGGGAATTGTGTAAGCAGGCCATTATTCTATACCAACAGTGCAATCCTATGCAGAGTTGCTCTAGACTAAGCCCACTGATTTCAGTGACCTGAGACTAGAGTATCTCTGCACAGGATTGCCCCGTTAGTCAGTTAAAGTTTACAAATTATGTCAAGACAGGACCTGGTAAGATAGATGTGATAACAAGTCTAATTGGTAGTGATATTGCACTACGAGTGTCCTTGTATGAGTGCCAGTTCCTTCTAGCTAGTCTTAATAGCAATGCAGGATCAGCCAGTAAAGTCTCTGTTGCCTTCAGGTAAAATGGGCTTCTAAAATGGAATTTGATCAACCAGCTGGGTCTCAAGATAATCATTTGTATTTCAGTTTGTTTTTTTTTAAGTCTGGTTGGTATGTTTAAAATTTGTTGTCAATAATGAATAACTGGAAAAACAGATTATGGGAACAGTTTCTCCTAGAAAAACATTGCCTCATAGAACGCTGTGTTCTCCACCGGTAGCCATCTACGCACATTTCAAGCCATTTGGTTTCCAGTGGTCGCATACTTGTCTAATGGGGATTTCCTCCCCAGTAATCATTATTATCAAGACCTTTTGTATTTTTGAAGCCTCTGCTAGGTGACGCTTCATGACGCTTCAATTTGTCCTGATTCTTCTCCAGCCTATTGCCGAATATCCGTTCCATTTTATGCAAATGTTTATTTTTGTATCGTACTGAAAATAATAATAATTTAATTTTTTATAAATGTTTTGGTTTGGTTGTTTCTTGTAAGTCCTGACCTGGATAGCCTAGGCTAGCTTGATCTCATTAGATCTCAGAAGCTAAGCAGGGCTGGCCCTGGTTAGCACTTGGATGGGAGACTACCAAGGAAGTCCAAGGTCATGATGCAGAGGAAGGCAAGGGCAAACCACCTCTGAACCTCTCTTGCCTTGAAAACCCCATGAAGGGTCATAAGTCAGCTGTGACTTGACTGCAAAATAAAAACAACCTTTCTTGTAACTCATCTCAGGTCCTTTGGGAGAAATATGGCGTAGGACACCATCAATCAATCAGTGTTAAGCCGTGTTGTATAGGAGAAGGATCTCCTGCAACAGTCTTGCTCATTGCCCTACAGGTCCAGCTTTTTGAAAGCTTTCCATTAAATGTAGCCATGCTATGAGATGGAAAACAGGGTGTTTGCAGGGGGAAGGGTTGTGGCTCAGTGTTAAAGTGCTGGCTTTACATCTGAAAGGTCCCAGGTTCAATCCCTGGCATCTCCAGTGAAAAAGATCAGGCAGGAGGTTATATGATAGATCTCTGTGCTTGACACCCTGGGCCGGGTTGAGAGATTCCTTGATATTTGGGGGCTGATTCCAGGGACAGTAGAATTTGGGGAAGGAAGGGAACTTGACAGGGATGCAATGCCATATGGTCTACTCTCCAAAGCTGCCATTTTCCTCAAGGAAACTGATCTCTGTAGTCTGGAGATCAGTTGAGATTCTGGGAGATCTCCAGCCCCCCACCTGGAGGTTGGCAGCCCTAAACCCTGGAGAGTCACGGCCAGTCTGAGTAAACGATACTTTCAGTGCTCTGACTCAGCAGAAGGCAACATCATGCACTTAAACTTTGGTGCAGAACCAAGTCATTCAAGTGTTGCATGGAATGAACTCACCAGGAACTAACAAGGCTGGCTATGGAGAAAGTTGGAACTTAAATGTGTGCCAGTGGAGCCAACTGCAAGCCGGTGCCCTACCAAAGCACATCCTAGTGGTCTTTTCTAGCATCTTGTTCCTCACCCAGTGGGGAGCCTGCTCAGCAATCCATTAATTCTCCCATGGAGAAGCCATTAGAAGTCAATGGAAGCCATTCACTTCCATGGGAGAAAGTAAAACTACAATTATTATGAGTGCTTTGCTAACGTCTTAATCACATATCACCTTCTACTGAAGTATCTTGCTAAACTTTTTTTGCATGTTATGTATATTATCAAAAACATAGCAAAACCACACTGATGTTTACTGCATATCTGACACCAGTGTACACTAGTATTATTGTGGGAGGGGGGATTTCTTTTCCCCAAATTCACTTTTTTTCTATTTTAAAAGAGAGATTTCTCTTTGATTTCTGTTTGAAGGGGAATCAGTGCACCCTTCGGTAACTTCAGCCCTTGGCACCTGTTTTATGTTACCACAGCAGGGTGCTCTAAGAGGATGATAGGAAGGCTTGGACTGACACTGCTTGCCTCTGACCATCTACAGAGTGAAATTCTGAAACTTCCTGCCCCTCCTCGGCTCAGATTTTTTTTAAATCAAAACAGAATTAATTAGAAATTGACTCCAGATTCCTAAAACAGAGGAAAAGAAACAGATTATTGGATTCCGGGAAGAAATTAGGTAAAATGGAATTAAGAAAGTTTCTCTTAATAATCCTAGTGTACACTTCTCTGAATAACCCTAGTGTACACTTGCAGTAGCTACCAAGAAAAAACGTATGTCTGGACACTTTAGTCTGCAACCCTGAAGTCTGCTGATATATTGGTGGTGGTGGAAAGTACCATCAAGTAAAAGCTGATTTATGGCAACCCCGTAGGGTTTTCAAGGCAAAACGGGTTCAGAGGTGCTTAGTCATGCCTGCCTCCACATTATGACCCTGGTAGTTCTTGGTGGTCTCCCATCCAAATACTAGCCAGGGCCAGTCCTGCTTAGCTTCCAAGATCTGATGACTTCAGGCTAGCCTGGGCTATCCAGGTCAGGGTGCTGATATATGACATTATTACATTTTAATTTCACACTTCTGCTAAGGAGTTCAGGGCAGAACACATAATGTATCAGCAAACCTGTGTGGTAGGCTATACTGAAATATAGTGATCAGTCCAGGCTGAGTTTCATGGCAGAGAAGGAATCTGAATTAGGGAAGGGAACAAAGCAGCACATGAACTAAAGTTTTCATGAATTTTGGCCAGTTCATGGTTTCCAAAGCGATGTTCATGAACTAAAGATCCACCATGAACTTCCATGAATTTTAAGGCAATTTGTGGCAGTCCATAAAGAGTGGGAAGAAGGGTTTAAATGGCTCCAAGCCATTTAAACCCCTGCTTTAAGCTCTTCACAAAAAACAGCTGAGCTGTTTGGTTTAAATGGCTCAGAGCCATTTAAACCCTTGTTTTCTGATCCCTGCCAAAAGCAGTGATTCTTTTGTGTTTCTCTTAGACCTAAAAGAATCATGAAAGGCATACATCCAATGGTTCTTCCACTAAAAAATAAGAGACCTCCCAGAAGGTCTTGAAATATTACACAGGTCTCTGGTGCAATCTCTCATTTTTGGGAGGACATGGCAGAGCCCAAGAAATTAGATCTTTCTTCACTTCTACCAGGTACTCGATTGGCCTGGCATCTCCAAGCAGCAGTGGAACCTCTACCAGGCCTTGATAGGTCATCTTCTGTCACTGGCCTTGACTACTCCACTATACTATATTGGTTGTCTTTGTCCAACTGTCTTTGTCCAACTAAAATGCAGTTGTGAAATACCACTTAATCCCTCTGTTCCATTGGCAATCAGATGAAGTATCATATTAATGACTGATTTTATTCTTAAGTGTATTAATTAAGCTTCATAGGTAGGGTTGTTATCTTCCAGGAAAGACATGGAGTTCTCCTGGAATTGCAACTGATCTCCAGACATCAGAGATCAGTTTCCCTGAAGGAAATGGCAGGTTCACAGGGTAGTCTTCTGTGTGGTCCCCCCCCTCATTTTGTGGGTATGTGCATGTGTGTTTCCATGGCTGGAAATCATGGCAACCTCTGGAAATCATGGCAACCTCTGGCGACTCGTACTGGGATATGGAAGACATTCAGAGAAGTGCTTAATAGCCTACCTCTGCCTCCTGGCCTTGGTATTCTTTGGAAGTCTCCTATCCAAATACTTGCCAGAGTAGGCCCTGCTTAGCTTTTGAGATCTGACAAGATCGGGCTTGCCTGGGTTATCCAAGTCAGGGTCACAGGGTAATCTTTATGGAATCACATCCTTACTGGGCGCCTTCCCCTCCCCAAACTCCATTCTCCGCCCAGGAATTTTCCAAGGTGGAGTTGGGGACCCCAGTGGTCGATGTAGTGAATTATATAAACAGGGGCTTATTTTGTGGGTGTGCGTGTGTGCGTGGGTGTGTCCATGCCTGGAAATCATGGCAACCTCTGGTGACTCCTACTGGGACATGAGAGACATTCAGAGAAGTGCTTAATAGCCTACCTCTGCCTCCTGGCCTTGGTATTCTTTGGAAGTCTCCCATCCAAATACTTGCCAGAGTAGGCCCTGCTTAGCTTTTGAGATCTGACAAGATCGGGCTTACCTGGGTTATCCAAGTCAGGGTCACGGGGTAATCTTTATGGAATCACATCCTCACTGGGCGCCTTTTCCTCCCCAAACTCCATTCTCCGCCTCCATATCTCCAGGAATTACCCAAGGTGGAGTTGGGAACCCCAGTGGTAGATGTAGTGAATTATATAAACAGGGGCTTATTTTTGAGTAAACATCTACAAGGGTGGGTTCTGCCTTGATAACAATAATAATACAACACAAATCTCTGACCAATTTGCACACATTTGTCTGGCCTTTTCCTTGCTCAATTTAATAAAAAATAATCTGAATTTGTATGTGATGAATGGGCTGTGCCATTGGATTTACCATGGTCCCAGATTAGTGCACGACTTTTTAGAGGCTTGTTGAAATTCATAAGCTCCCCAAAAAGCACATAACAAACACAGAGGATGTCCATTCATCACATGCAAAACTTTTAATGAAAGCAGTCTATCCTGTTTGCAAATATGGAAAATCCATACCTTCGAGTTGCCTTCTTCATAGTCATCCCAGGATGGAGATGG